GAGGTGAATATTGCCAAGGCTAGTGGCGATGTTTCAGATTCAGATTCTTCGGGCTATTCGTGCCCAGCTCTTCCGTCAGTTGATGTTGCCGACTCCACCGAGTGGATGTTGGATTCTGGTGCTACTTACCACATATGCCCTAGAAGGGATTGGTTCTCCAGCTTTCAGGAGTTAGAAAGAGGGGGGATTGGTTCTCCAGCTTTCAGGAGTTGGAAAGAGGGGATGCTGTTCTCATGGGTAATGATCACAGATGCCCTATTGGTGGTATTGGTACCGTTCGGATTCGGATGAGTGACGGGATGATCCGGGAGTTGGCTGATGTGAGGTTCGTTCCTCAACTGAGGAAGAACATCATTTCACTTGGGGTATTGGAGGCATCAGGCTATAGGGTGATCTTGGCGGATTCTCGCTTGAAGGTCACATCGGGGTCCATAATTGTGATGAAGGGAGTCAGGCGGAGTAACTTGTATTATCTACTTGGGAGCACGGTAGTTGATAGGGCGCTGACTACTTCTATGGCTAGACTGTGGCATTGTTTGGTGCTGGGATATATTGTTGGTTATACCGTGCACAGATTGTTGAGGAGTGCTATGACCTGCAGATTGAAGTCCTGTGAGCACATTGGTATGAGCAAGAAGACCGAGGTGGAGTTCAGCACTTCTATCCATCGATCGAGAGGTCTTATTGGAGGTGTTCAGTCAGGCATTTGGGGGCTTTCCGAGGAGGCATCATCGGGAGGTAATCGTTATTTTGTTTCTTATGTTAGGGATTGTACTAGGCATAATTGGGTTGCAACCAAGTCTCGTTGGTATAAAGACCTAGTAGTCCGCAACAGTTGGAGGAGGTGTATGGGCAGAAAGGTTACCAGTCGTACTTATTCTAGTAGGAGTCCTTTCTTGCATTGGTGCCGAGCTCACGGCAGTTGGAGACACTTCAGAGGGAAGGAGACAGTGGGGCGACGTGATGAGATGGCGGATTTAGTGGGCCGTTCTTTTCTGGAGGAGGATCGGTATTGGTTGTCGAGCAGTGGATCTGGTATTCAGGCTTCGACAGGGTTGGGTCATCTTATGTGGTTGCCGACTGCTGCGTGTAGAGTTGTTAGATCTGGTGGAGCTGCTTTAGATTTTGGTCGGCGTCGGATATTTGGCTACCCAGCACTTGGTCACATCGTTGATGTGAGTTTGGATCCGATTGCGCAGTTGGGATTCAGGAGTTCATTTGGTTATCAGTTGGGAGCTTCTGAGTTTAGTCCACTTTGGACTTTCGACAGGTGGAGAGTATTGATCAGGTCAGAGGGATATCGCAGCGGGTGGAGGTTGATGCTACTCCACATTGGGTGGGGACTTTCCCACATACTCCAGGTCATTCTGCATTGGTTGGGATTCTAGCTGAGGTGGCACAGTGTGGGAGTCATTTATTTATGGGTGCAGATGATGAGGTAGTTGTTTTGGATGCAGCTGATGGATATGTTTTGGATACGGCCATTGTTACATCTCAGGTGGAAGTGTTTGGATAGCTTCAGTTTGAGGTCGTTGATGATGCTATCAGCCGCAGGTTGGATTGAGGGCCTTTGGAGGCCCATATGGTGAACTACGTGAAGGCTTGATTCCTTGGGCAAGAGGATACGTAGGCAGTCTTTATGATGCAGCCGATTTGGTGAGCGACATCGACATTTGGGGAGAGTGTTCGCACTCCCATTTGGGTCTCAACAAGTGAGACATTTGGTGTAGTCGGTGTAGGCTCAGTTGTTTGGTGAGTAGACACAGTTGGTTTGGGGTTGAGTGTTCGCACTCCCGTTTGGATCTCGACGTGTTGTGATTGGAGTCCGTTGTCATGAGTCCGTTGCCATGGCATACTGGGTGCAACAGTTGAGGTATTGGTTTGATCGGTGTCGGCTCAGTTTTGGAAGAATCTTCGCCGAGGTGGAGATTTGAAGAGATAAGCTCAGGATTCAGGATTGTCAGGGTGGCGGTCGACCGGCCCGGTCGACCGCATTCGTGCACAAGGCTTCCGCCGCTGCGGTTTTGAGTTGGGTCTGTTTTCAGACCCGCTTCGTTTTGGATTTGTATAAATACCCTTTGGGTGTTTTTTAAGGTTAAGAGCAAGGACGAATTTGAGCAGATTGAGAGAGTTTTCTTTGGGCTTCTATTCTAGGAGCAATTGGAGAGATTGAGAGTTGACTGTTGAGGGTTTATGAGAGATTTGTAACCCTAGTTTGTTCCTCTTGATTTCTAATAGTGAAAACTCCCCCCTCCTTGCCCCGTGGACGTAGGCATCTTGCCGAACCACGTAAAACTGGTGTTTGGTTGTTTGTGCTGTTGATTTTGGTTGGTTGTTCATCTTTCTTGGCGATTGTTTTGGTTTCTCGAGACACAACAAAATAGTCGTAGTCGGGGTTGGCAACCCCGACTATTTAGAAACTGGATTAAGACAAAATGGGTCGATTTTTGTGAAAAAAAACTCAAGGGGTTCTATTTTTAGAAAAAAAAATAATTATGAATGAGTTTGTTTAGAAAATTTTTTCATATCAAAAATAGCCATAACTAATGCGCTTCATGTTAGGGGAAATTTTGGGTTCGTACAAGCACCGAGTTCGTGAAAAACAAAATGGAAACACCAAAGCATGGTTATGAACGTAACAGGACCATGTGACAAGCCCACAACTTGCATTCAGTATCGGATCTTTTTGCAAGTAACAATATCCCGATGTGGGCCTACATTTAATTTATTTTGTCCGATATTCAAGAAGATATCCCATGTCCATTTTTCTGCCCGCATCAAGAAAGCTACTGATCTATGGTTAGGGCATAGGATTGAACAATGTGAGAACGGTTTGAGGCCTTTCAAGTGTAGGGTAGAGGGCTGCTAAAGTTGGATAAGAGTGCAAAATTTTGAAGAGAGAAGGAATGAAGATATGTAGATTTAATTAGACCTCATATATAAACATTGTCATGTGGTAGTTTGCCGTAACAAAGTCTGAATGGAGAAACTAAGAGTCCTTTCGACGACGCAATAAACTTTTTACATGAAATATTCAGTAATTCTGATTCATCGTGCTGATATTGCTCCGAAGGGTTACCTATTATTGAATCATCGGACTTGGAGATTTGTACCCTGATCCAAGCACGCACATTCCGTTGATACGACAACGTTAACGTCGTAAGCCGGAATCGTCAGAAAAATGTTATAGAAAATGGAAATCAAGATAGGAGCTTTTCTTTCTTAATATGAAAGTAGGAAATTTACGAATTACTGACAGTTTTGAATAGGGATATATAGCAACCACACATGCTGAGGAAACCAGAAACAGGATCATGGGGTTGCCATATCTATTTGTGAGCCACAGCAGAGCAACATGGGCTTCTAAATCTAGCTGCATTTTTTTTTTAAGTCTATCCTCTCATGTGCATCTCTCTACCTCTGGTGTGAGCAAAAATATTAGAACATACAGCCAACCGAGTTTCTACGAGTATGAAAGCTACTGAGGATCACATTAGGGATTTTTGAATTGATCTGTGTGAACGGAGTTTGTGGCTTTTAGATATGGATGGATTTTCTTTGTCCTGTTTTTTTTTTCCTTATTAGAGAAGGTAGAGAACAAAAAATTAAGGAGTTTGGATTTAATTGAGGTGGTTGCTAAGGCAACAGATGCTAAGTCAAAATTATACACCCGGCCAGTAGTGGAAAATGATAATCATGTCACTGGCTACTCAGAAAATCTTCGACTCTCAACTATATCAACCTTTCAATGATTACGCGTAAACAGGCTATTCTTGCAATTTGATCGGACGATTTCCGCTGGAAAAACAATATAGATCAAAGAGGCCTAAATAGGATACCGTCGTCGACAAAGACCGACACGTGAAGAATCTCTTACCGACAAAGATACAAACATAATGAGGATCTTAGACTTTTAACTGACGTCCGCTGAAACTGTGAAGGACGGAGGGACGTTTCGCATGCAACTTTGACCAAAAGAGAGTAAATACCGGGTTGGCATAGTTTTGCAAATACTCTTCATTCATTAGACTGAGCAGCCCATCATTCGATTCAGCCAAGCGGTTCGTTATAGCATTTGCATGCTCAAAAAAAAAAAAAAAAAAGAATAATGAAGCGATTCCTTTTTGCTCTGCTGCAATGATTCTGCTTCAAATCCAAGAATCGGAGCTCAGAAGCAATCCAGCATGAATGGGCCAACAATGAGGAAGAAAAGGGTGCTCGTAGCCAACAAAATGATGACGAGTTGGAAGCCTGACGCAGGAAAAGGGGAACACCAAGTGAGAGCGTGAGAAGATACGAAAAGGATTGCTTGCGTCCGCAGCAAAAAGAAACACGCGAATTTGGATGAAGCATGAAGATACCTGCATGCTGCATGGGGCACACTGTAACTCTTGTAACCCTCCGCGGGGTAGCGTGGGTGATCTAGGGCCGCAGTGGTAACACTACCAACACCACCCCCAGGGTCCCTAGTTCGATCCCGTCTGCCTATTCTGGAGTGTGTGGGGATGAGAGGTGGGACCCACACATCCGGTGTTTACTCGGTAGGGTTCGGATTGGGATCCTCTCCTAAGGAATAGTGTTTCCTAAGATCTAACGCATCTCAACCATTCATTGCATAAGACCTCCTCGTTTTTTGTGCTCATACACAAAATCAAAGGTTGAGATGCATTAGGAGATCTTAGGAAACACTATTCCTTAGGAGAGGATCCCAATCCGTAGGGTTCGGGGGTAAAGCTCAGGCTTCCATCTGGGGATCTTCATGCCTTCCCTCGTATCCCAAAACTCTTATAATAATAATTAGATAGCAAAAACTTCGTATAGTTATAACAATATACCTCGCGCAATCAGGGGATGCAGCTTATATACATTCTATATGACAGAATACCGCAGGTCGTTGGGCAGTCATTAAATATATAATAATATTTTTATTGGAAATCAAGTGATAGTTCACAGACAATGAACATGTCAATGATCTGAAAGGAAAATAAATACGAAGCCCATAAGAGAAAAAACCTGTTAATTGAAAATCATGAAACCAGAAGCAATGCTTGGAAGTTTATTGATCCTGTCGAGCTATCCAGCTAACTATATAGCACAACACGCCTCACTAAAAGAATGCATGGGATCAAATCATACAAGGTTTATTCAATGAGCCTGCTAGAAAGCGAATATTTGTTTCCATTTCCGGTTCGCCGGATAATAACACCATGTACAAGCGCCAGAGAAGCATCCTTTATTTTCGGTAACCCATGAGGAGCCCTCCCTGGCTTTTAAATATGACCGGTCAAGTGCGAGAATATTACAAATATAGACATTGGGGTTTCCATTTATTATCATCCCTTAGTGTGGCTGATTTTTACACAGGTTTCCAACTCCTGGAAGAAAAGAGTGAAATTAGATCAGCAAGCAGGCGGCTTGCTCTGGAGCTTTGCCTGCTGCTGCGACCAATTGGAATGGGCTGAGAGGACCCGGTCCAAGAGCTCCTGAGGAACTGGCTGACCCCTCCTCTGCTGAGGTGATATTTGTGCTGTATGCACGAGTGTCTTCCATTTGTCCTGTGTCCCAAAAAAAATCCGAAAAAGTACGACTACTCAATAAAAAAAATAGTTTACGACACGATGAGGATAATACAGAGAGATGCCAAGGTTAACATTAAGGGCATATAAATGTAAAGAAATGACCTGACTCAGACGTATCAGTTATTTCCTGCACGACATATTATCTTCTCGACACCACCCAAATAAGTACTAAACAATTAAGACATACAAAAACTTTCATGCATAACAGCCGAATACAAGTACTTAACTATCAATTATCAAATATCAATTTGAAGGCATGCCCTTCAACAGAGTATGTTTGTTGTCAATTTATCCCACAAGCTTACAATTAGAGCAAGTGGGTAACACTTAACGGCGTCTATGATTCTATGATGTCATGTGCAAATTATACCGGATGCGTGGCTGAAGCATCCCGACAGCCACGATGTACCTATTTAAATATCTATTAGAAGGGGTACCTCAGCTCCCATGGATCTCACAAACCAGATAATGAGGGAAAAGCATTACCCATTACATTGGAGGGCAATGGAGATTCAAACAACTCAAAAGAATAGGCATGCGTGCACGTGCTTCTTTTCGGTTCTCTACTTTTCCTTTTTTCCACTTTTCTTTCTTTTTCACTCTATGTGAGTTGAGGTTACATCTTTACAGCCACACGGGGACCAGCGCTAACCAGGCAAACATGGACACACAAAATTTCAATAGTATACATGCAAAAATGCCACACAATCTTAAAACTAAATGCAAAGTGTGAGGGATACCAAATAACGACTAGTTTCCTACCTATTTCCTAAAAACCCCTATGTTTTTAGGGTTCAAGCTCAAGCGATATGAACACTAGGCATATGAAACAAATCCACAGATGTATAAATAAATGCCCATGTTCTGTACCTTCAAATCTACATAAGTTCGATGTTTTGCATTGTCAAAAGCTCGGATTTTGACATCTCTCCACCTGCCAAATAAAATCAGACCTAAATTAAGCTGCAAGCTAAATAAGAAAAAAAAATAGGCCTTTAAATGAGGGAAAGGTGGGCAAGCCACCTTCTTGATAACTCGAACTTAACCTCCGTTAGACTCGAAACAACGATTCTCCCATTTTTTCCTATTTAGTAGGAACACAATAGAGATTGGGTAAAAAACAATGTGCACTGACCTTCCAGTACCGAGCTTTTCAACTGCCTGGACAAGAGCTTCCACTTCAGAGACAGAGAAGGGTCTCCTGATGCGACGGTGCACAAGTTCAGATTCTCTGGTCTTATGGACTGGAACCATAGGCAGTGCCTCAAAATTCATGGATGGAATGGCAGTAAGAGGACGGGCATCTTCAGCTGTTTTATCTAGCGATAAGTTATCTGCAGGGCAAGGGGATGAATTATGATTGCTCTCCAGACTGTTCCCAGTGGGGGTTAGTTGAGATTCTGGGCCAACATCGGACTTTCCACCACCTGATGTAGGACCACCCAGATCCTGAAACCTGAAGTAACTAAAACAATCAGAATAATATGAGGAAAAATCATTATTTGGTTTGATCCAAAGAGCCACCGCAATCTACAACCACCAGAAAAGAACACACAAAAACAGAGATTAAACATATCCAACAACCGAAAAGACATTGATGGAAAATACCGTAGTTACTTTTTCAAGATTCACACAACTTTGCAAGAGAGGAAACAGACCCTAAAATCCAAGTAAGAAATAGCAGACCTAAAAACACTAATGAAAGCAAAGCGGTAGAAGTCATGCAATACTAGACAGAAAAGTAGTTGCAAACTGACTGTTCAAGGACATTACCAGATTGATAAGCAACAAAAGAGAATAAAGAAAAGAAAATAAGCATTACCTAGATAGTGACTCAGAAGTGCCATTAGGAAGAAGAAGATGGGGTTCTTCAGGACAACTGAGCAGCGGTAGGGCTTGGCTAGAACTTGGCTCCAAAATAAAGTTCAGATCACTTGATTTATCTCCATGAGAAATTCCAGCTTGGACTAATGTTTTATTGTCATCTCTAACCTTCTTACCTTGGCGGAGGACACCTACATGCAGTCCACCACCAAATATGGCAGTTACAGCCTCCATGACAGTCCTCTGCAAAAAATAAAATTAAATAAAAAAATAAAAAAAAATATATAATTGTAGAATACTGAATGTTTTGGCTGCTAAAAATATTTAGGGAATAGAAACTTCATAGAATATTAAGATGAAAAGAACAGAGAACTATAAACGAATGGAAATGTGATCTCTTTTAATACCAATGTCTACCAACTGTTAATCCAAGAACATTATACAAACTATATATGAGAAAATAGAGGCCAAAGTTAGGAGTCGTAAATGTCATTCCCAGTGTTTGTCTTAAGAATATGGCAAACATTCAACCACCAGCACGGAAAGCACTCTATCATGGGAAATATTAACAAAAATCGTGGATTATAGCCCATGAAAATCGTGAATTTTATGTATGTATAATTACACATTGGGACGAAGCCAAAAAAAAAGAAGCCGAAATTGTGGGTTATACCTCATTAAAATCATGAATTTTAAAGTAATCATATTAATTGTCATTGGGTCGAATGTACAATAATGGATCAAAATCAAGGGTTATACCTCATGAAAATTGCGAACATTGAAATTCATACGATTGAAAAGAACAAAAAACAAGGACTGTAGTACATGCAAATCACAAATTTTGAAGTATCCATATATATTTGCCATTTAGTAGAAAATAAATTGACAAAAATCGGATGCTATATCCCATGAAAATCACGATTTTTTATTGGAAGAAGATTTAATTGTGTTTGGGTCGAAACTAGACTAAACTCTTAGGTGAAAATCGCAAATTATTGGTATACATGATTACTTGTTAATAGGTTGAAACAAACGAAAATGAGCAAATATCAAGAGTTATAGTCCATGAAATTACTAATTTTGAAATATTCTTAGTTAATTCCCACTGTGTCGAAAAGAAAAAAATTTGGATAAAAATAGTGGTTTATAATCACTGAAAATTGTGAATTTTAAAGGATGCATACTTATTTGCTACTAGGTCAAAATGAAAGAAAATTTTTAAGTATTCGTAATTTGTTGACATCAAGTCAAACCAAATGAGAACGCACAATAATCTTGGAAACCCATGAAAATTGTGAATTTTAAAGTGTACACAAAATTAATTGCAATTAGGTCTAAACAGATAAAAATGGACAAAATTCGTGGGTTAAAGCCCATAAAATCGTGAATTTTAAGGTGGGTGTATTTATTCGCCAATGGGTAAAAGAACGAAAATTGTCCAAAATCGTTGCGCCAATGAATTTCGTGATTTTTGAAAAAAATAACATTTAATTGTCATAGAATCAAAATAGACGAAAATTCACAAAAGTCATGGGTTAGCCCTTTAAATTCGCATATTTTAAAAACTGTAGATATCAACTCATCCAAATCGCAAATGTTGAAGCACACATAATTATTTGTCATTGGTTTGAAATACATAAACTAACAAAATAGTGAATTATAGCCCATGAAAATCACAAACTTTGACATACCAATAATTAATAATCATTAGACCAAAATAAAGAAAAATCATGGACTATATAGCCCCCGCAAAATTCAAAAATTTGATATTCATACAATTAATTGCAATTTGGTCGAAGCGAACCAAAATGGAGAAAAATCACGAACTATAATATACAAGACTCACGAATTTTAAAGTATCCATACTTATTTGCCATTGGGTTATTTAAAAAAATTGACAAAAAATCATGCGCTATAGCCTATGAAAATCATGATATTTACGAAAAGAAATTTCATTTTAATTGGATTGAGACTAATAAAAATAGAAAAAAACCGTCGGCAATAGACTGAAAAAATGTTGAGAGTTATAACCCATGAAATAGCGAATTTTGAAATATGCTTAGTTGCCATTGAGTCGAAAAGAAAAAAAATTAACCAAATTCATGGGTTATAACTAATGAAAATTGTGAGTTTTGAAGATGCATACTTATTTGTTATCACGAATGAAAATTTTGAAATATGCAGACCTTGTTGCTATTGGATCGAACAAATGAAAATGCAAAAAAATCGTGGGTCATATAAACATGAAAACTACGAATTTTGGAGTGTACGCCTAATTAATTGTAATTAGGTAGAACAAACAAAATAAATAAAAGCGAATGAAAATTGAGATTTTTGAAGAAATAAAACTTAATTGTCATTGGATTAAAATAAATAAAGATTTATAAAAATTATGGGTTTGCCCATGAATATCACGAATTTTGAAGTAGTCATATTTAATTCCCATTGGGCCGAATGAATAATAATGGACAAAAACTATGGGTTATGTCCCATGAAAATTGTGAATATTGAAGGTCGGACAATTACTATTGAGTAGAGATGAACAAAAAATGCACAAAAGATCATATATTATATCCTATGAGAATCACAAAGTTTGAAGTATGGATACTTATTTATCATTGGGTCGAAAACAAAAATTGTCAAATAAAGTGAGTTATAGCTCATGAAAATCGTGAATTTTGAAGTATGTATAATTAGTTGTCATTAATTAGGTCGTCAAGGAAAAAAGTTGACAAAAATCATGGGTTAGCTAATGAAAATCGCAATTTTTGAAAATTGTTGGCAATAGCCGATGAAAATCGTGAAGAGATGTGCATAATTAATTGGAATTGAACCGAAATGAACAAAATTTGACAAAAATCACAGGTTAACTCATGAAAATCACGAGTTTTGACATACATATAATTACTTGCCATTAGGTGGAAACAAATTACAATTGCCAAAATTGTGGAATACAAGCCATCAAAATTGTGATTTTTCAAATAGTTATAATTATTTGTCATTAGGTTGAATGGACGATAATGGATGAAGATTGTGGGTTATAATCCATGAAAACTGCAACGATTGAAGTTTGCACAATTAATTGCTATTGGGTAACAAATAACAAAAATGAACAAAAATTGTGGACAAGTCAATGAAAATCATGAATTTTGAAGTACATAATTACACATACTTATTTGTCATTGGGTTGAAGAATGAAAATTAATAAAATTTGTGCCTTTTAGCCCATGAAAATTGAAATTTTTTATGAAAGAAAATTTAATTGCTATTAGGTAGAATTTAACAATAATAGACTAAAACCGTAGGTTGTATTCCATGAAAATCGCAAATTTTAAGATATATTTAGTGATCGAAATGAATGAAAATAAAAAAAATCATGAGTTATAACTAATAAAAATTGTGAATTTTGAAATATGCACACTTGTTTATTATTGGGTCAAAACAAACGAACATTAACTAACATTGTGGATTGCAATGAAAATTGTGAACTTTAAGGTAAATATACTTATTTGTTATTGGGTTAAGGAACGGAAATTGTCAAAAATCATTAGTTATAGCAAATGAAAATCATAATTTTTTAAGAAATAAAACTTAACTACCATTGGCTCAAAAAAATTTCACAAAAACCATGAGTTATAGCACATGAAATTCGTGAACTTTGAAAATCATGGCTAATAGCCCACGAAAATCGCGAATGTATGTACGCATAAGTAATTGCCATTTGGTTGGAAAAAATAAAAGTTGACAAAAATTGTGGGTTATAGCGTATTGAAAATTGCGAATGTTAATGCATGCATAATTAATTGCTAGTTCTTGGTAATCTGTAACGATCAAGTTGAATCATGAGCCTACTAATGAAGCAAATTCGATTAAACTACAATTGGCACCACAGAGAAGAGGCCATAAACTTGAGAGATTAGGTCGGAAAAACAAAATTTGACAAATTTGTAGGTTGTGAAAATCGTGAAGTTTGAAGCGCATATAATTACTTGACATTGGGCTAAAATGAACAAAAATTGAGAAAATAGGGTTATACCCCCATCAAAATCGCAAATTTTAAATAGTCATAATTACTTCCTATTATATTGAATGAATGATAATAGACAAAAACTACAGGTTGTAGCTCATGAAACATGCAAATATTAAAGGCCGCATAATTAATTATTATTGCGTCAAAACGAAAAAATGGACAAAATAATCATGAGCCATATCCCATGAAAATCACAAAGTTTGAAGCATGCATACTTATTTTTCATTGAGTTGAATGGTGAAAATTTACAAAAACAACAGATTATAAGTCATGAAAATTGCGAATTTTAAAGTATGTATAATTAATTAGCATTAGGTCCAAAACAACAAAAAAGGGCAAAAATTTCAGTTTATATAGCCCATGAGTATCACAATCTTTGAAAATCATTGGCTATTCCTATGAAAGCTGTGCCTTTTGAAGTACACATATTTAATTGTCTTTGGGATGAAAGAAATGAAATTGCGAAAATAGTGGGTTATATATAGCCCATGAAAATTATAATTTTTTACAAATGTATAATTACCTGTCATTGGGACAAAACAAACAGAAATTGCCAAAATTGTAGGTCATACCCCTTTAACATCATGAATTTGAAGTTAGTCTTGATTAATTGTCATATGATAGAAATGAACGATAATAGATAAAAATTGTGGTTATAGCCCATGAAATTCACGACAATTGAAGTTCATACAATTAGTGTTATCAGGTCAAAACAAATGAAAATGGACAAAAGTAATAGGCAATAGACTATGAAAATTATGAAATTCGAAGTACATATACTTATTTTTCACTGGATCAAAGAAAATTGATTGAAGAAAAATCATGGGTTATAGTCCCATGAAAATCGTTAATAACCCATGAAAATCGTGAATGTTAAAACATGCACAAGAAATTGGCATGAGATCGAAATGAATGAGATCTGACAAAAATCATAGGTATATAGCTCATGAAAATCACGAATTTTGAATAAATAAACCTTAATTGCCATTGGGTCAAGACGAACGAAAAAGTCACAAAAATTATGGGTAATAGCCTATGAAATTTGGAAAATCAAGGTAATAGCCATGAAAATCGCGAATGTTACACATAATTAATTGCCATTGGTCGAAAAGAATTGAAAAAAAATTGTGGATGTTGTGCCTGGAATAATTTTGAATACATTTTCACCAATTTTGACAACTACAAAACTTGATTTTCTACCCATGGATTGCCCTAATTGAATTGTAATGATCTCGCCCATTATTGAGTTTTAAGGATCTTTCCCAATGATTTACACTCCCTATAAGGAATCTTCCTAAAAAAGAATACAATAGCATTCCCAAAAAAAGACATCAATAGTCATTGTTAATCTCAATGCAACCTCTTGATATTAAGTTTATTAAATAAAGTGAACAGGGAAGGACATTAATGTACCTTCAATGATCCAACAGTTGAGGTTTCAGGTATCTCAATGAAGAGCTCTGGCACTGTAAACGACTTGATTCTGAGTTTTACTGCACATAAAAGCTCATGTTTAGAATCTTCCCCATGACAAGGTTAATGACAGAAAGTAACATCTTCAAACAGTTTGTGACATATGCTACATAAACTATTTTATACCATGGAAGTCTTCTGATCCATATGATGTTAAATGACCATTAATGGAAGATGATATCTTGCTCTCTGGAAAAAGGAAAAAAAAAAGAAAAAAAGAAAAATAAAAGAAAGGGAGTTGGTCTTAACACCAATGTCTTCCATGAAAGCTAAAGAAATTGGAAAAGCATGAAAGCTTGATAATTATAGATAAGCAAAGCTGCAAAAGAAACAAATACAGAAATACTTCCACTTGATGCCCTTTTTAAATGAACTCACTCAAGTACCTTCACTAATAATTCCTGCACGATAAGTTGAAATTGAGCAGCGCTGGAAAACCTTTCTCCTCTTAAATGAACTCCTTTGAGTTCTTTGTCGTGTGTAACAAATCTTCCTCTTGCGGAAAGATGACTTCATTTCAACATCTGATTAAAAAAAAGAACAAACCTCCAATTAATGAGGAACCGTTCATACATGACTAGACCATAGACAAGTGTTAGAATCTAATTGTTGAAAGTGCACTAGTCGAAACATGTAACAGGACGTTATGTAAAATCATAATAACATACCAGCATTAGAAAGGTCCCTATCCTTTCTTATGGTTGTAGCTATTTTCCAGAACTTCGTTGCTAACTGCTTTCTTATCCTACTATATTCTATTCCTTGATTCTTCAAGGTCTTATTGTTTACTATACTGGAATTTGTGCGCCCAGATAGGTTTTCGTCATCATCTCTATCTACAAGAAGCTTCTCATCCCGATATTGGGGAGAGAAACTATCACGAAGAATGTGATCGCCGCAATGAGGCACCTTGACTCTGCTGTCTGAGCTGGTCAAAGCATGCAGTCTAGTATCCACATCTGTATTATCCACCAAACTGCATGTGTTTGAAGCATTTCGATCAACTATAGTTTCGTCTTTAACGTTACTGCCAAACAATTTATCAGTATAAGTAGATTGTTTGTCTGAGCAACCCTCCTTATTGAATGTATCAGATTTCAAAAGAGCATGAGCAGCTCCTGAAGGCTCCAACACAACCTGCGAGCATTTCTTGGGTGAAACCTGCCCTTGGGCGACATGGTCAGGACCCAGTAGATTCTCGTTACAGCTTCCCAGGTCACAAGCTCTATCTTTGACTGGCTTCTCATCATTGAGCTGTTCTTCTTTTATAGTATCTTTTCCACTGTTAGCATTCGGTGTTCCAATAATTTTATTTGGTGAGGTTTCTCCTTCTAGCAAAATCTCTTCTGCTACCTCTGCAAGCAAGTCAAATGCACACATCCCATTTTTCGCTGTTTTCTTCCTAACAGAACGTTTACCCTACAAACCAACTATTCAAATTTGCAGAGTTCAACAACTTTACTGCTAATGTAGAATGGCTAATCACATCAGAATACACTATACCTTAGCTGACTTTGGAACATTGGGTATTGGAGGAACACGGTACCCAGTATTTCCGTAAAGCAACCTCTTCTTCAACACCATATCTCAATAACACATGCCAACAAGATTCTCAACAATAGTTAGGAAGTCCTTCATTGGCAAAGTTCTTAATTAGAAGGCAGATGTGTTTTGTCGAAAAGAATCTGTAAAGGTGGAGCAGAAGTGAAAATCATTACTGCCCATATGGTTAAACATTTAGCAGAATTTACATCCAAGAAAAATAAACCAGGCACAAAAATCAAAATCATCCAGCGGATGCAGCACCCCAATCTAAATAAGTTATCCATAAAGTTAAAGCAGCAGCACTACTTAATAAAAAAACAACCCAGATACAATAGAACAATACGGCCAGTATTCGTAACTGAACGCCCCTGAGTGGCTAAAACCTAATAATAAAACCACTTGGAGCTACGGATGAACGGCTTTGATAAGGCTCCGGTATGGTACTTACATATTTGTATCCGCGTACTAATCATGGATACATATATGTCTCAGTAAGGAAAAATCACAACCATATTCGCTTTTTTTATTTATGGAAACAACCATATTCGCTAAAATCAGATATGGATGCAGAGATATATGCGGTTGTACATGCGGATAGGCAACAGATCTAAGAAACATGATAATATTGAAAAAAAATATACAGTCATATGATTCAAGAGAGTACATTAATATGTTCGTTATATCTGAAAAAGTTAAGATTAGATTCCTTAGCCCAGTTTATTATATGTAAAAGGTTCAGTTACATGAGGGCGGATATTTACAGATACATCACAGAGAAACTAATAAATTTATCAATTACAAGCACTAGTGAGGATAAAATGTGGGAGACCCAAATTTCAGCAAATTGATCTGAATTACTGATAATATATGTTGTCATCAAACGCTTCATGTTAAAGATTCAGTCCGATTTTTCAACCTAGATTTCTATCAATCCTCATGTTTTATCAAAATTTTCACAAAACGCAACTAAACAGTTAAGGAAGGCAATTAATAATCTGAGTACACAAAGAGCACGAGTAGCACATCAAACCAGCGAATAAAATGAAAATATTACAATCGCTTCTCAAAAAAAAAGTAAAAAATGATAATTAATAACTCAAAAAAAGAGGGAGCGGATGTCACATCTCACCTTTAAAAATTTCCTGAATCAGCTCATGTCTTTAAACTTTCCTGAAACTTAGAAGGAACTCCTATTTTAAACTCGTCTATTAAGAAAATTCTATAAATTGGAAATTTAAATCAAATCGACATCGGTAAGATCACAAGGTTCTAATAAATTCGCGATCAGGATCCGTTACAAAAATCTCAGAACTATCCTCTCCAACATCAACAAACGAGATCCAAACAATAATCACAATCAGAGATCAAATAAATCAAAAATTGGCGCTCAAACCCTAAAAGAACGCAGAACTGGATCCACTAACCTCTGATCGAACACTCTAGAATTCAAATCCTTCGAACTTCAATCTCGCCGCGGCAAAATCACCCTCCGGCGAACTCCGATGAACAAAACCCCGCGAAATTCACCGAATCCATCCCCCGATCGCGATCCAAACACGGAATTTTCTTCATGCACGCGTTCGCCTTGATTTCTGCAAATTCTCAGAAAAAACAGAAGAATTACTGAGTTTAAATATTATTTTATTTTCGTTATTTTCTCTCTTTTGAGATCGCCAAAACCCTGAACCACCCCCTTTTTGCTTAAACCCCAATTCTTATACCTATTTGACTGACCCCCCACCCCCGCGCCAACCGGACCGGCCGGTAA